TTATTTTTTCATATATGGAGAAAAGGGGCTACAACTTCAACTAAGAAAAGGCCAAAAATCAACGGTTAGTCCCAGCTATATCAAAGTTGCTTTTTGTTATACAAAAATAAAACTGCATACAAATCTTTTCGACATACCTAATTAAAAAGCCTACATTTTTCGAAAGTTTGTTTTTTTTAATATTCAATAAAGTTTGAAACTTGAATTTATACGGTTTTTGTTAAAGAATACACTATGTTTTTTAATGAAAAATAATTAAAATTAAATAATTAAAAAAATTTTTATTCAAAACGTGTCAACATGTCGGCGGCGTATAATTGTGACATGGACTATACCTATCATTCCACATCTCAATCTTTTTCGACTGACGTGAATATGTCGGTCATTCTTTTTTTTTCATATAAAGCTTACTCTTCATTTATCAGTTCCCGGTACCGCACCTATAGAGCAAACGTTACGGCAGAATATTACGTTGCTTGTTTAATCATGTTCGTTTTTTTCAGCAGTAGAGTCGAACTGAATATTTCTATTTCATTGGTGTTATTAAAAACGCTCTGTGTCAAAATGTTGCTCATTGTTTTACTTATGATCCTGGAAGGCTTTACAAATGCATTCCGATACAGTTAACCGATCAACAAGATGCATAGGACCATATTATTCCCGGTTATGTCTACGAACGAGGAATGTAACTCCAGCTCCCGAGCGTCGATTTAGTGAGTGGTTTTCATTGCGAGCAAGGGTGACAGCCTGATATTAAATATGATTCTCTGTGCTTTTTCAAAGTCTTCCTAAAGGTCTTAATCAAGTTTTCGCCTCACAAATGTAAACTCACTTACTTATACGGGACTTAACTTACTTATGGGACCTATATAAATTTGTATATAAACCCACTCAGACAGTTCCAAATTGTAATAAGATGAATCAAATAAAATCAAGCTCAATTTAATTGCCAAATACTTATCTGAAAATTCGGAAAATCTCTGTAATTTAAAGATTTCCATGGAAGCATGACAAGCTGATATACTCGTACATTTAAAGCGAAAGCAATATTATTTAATCGCTGAAATAACATGGCTGTCAAAAGCAGCTTTGGATTGTAGCTACTCTCTTCATAAAATAATATTAAACCATACATGTGTATGTATGTACATACATATAGGTAGAGTTGCCAGATTTTTTTAAGCACGAAATCAGTACGTTGGACTTTTTCATGCTAAAAAAATCAGTACACTTTTATTCAAAGCAAAATTACGAGTGTACATAAGTAAACTATAATACTCTAAAACGCTAGAGTACTTGTTGAAAAATAAAAGTGTTACTTATTTTAACATGAGTGTACACATCGTTGTACACAGAAGTTGCGTTATATTGCCAATAAATTATTTTATATTTATTTTTTTTTTTAATAGCAATAATGCGATCGTCTCCATCTTCAGTGTTTAAATAGTCAAAGACTTCTTACATTTCATTTTAAAATTACTTTTAATTTGAAATTCACTTTAAAAATTTCAATTAGAAACCGGTTTCTCTCTTTGCGTCAGAAAGCAAACTTTATACTTAAGATCCTCTCAGTTGCTTCATTTGAGTGCGGCATTGAAAAACAAAATAACATATTTTTTTTAGACTGTGGAAACGTACCACTATTTAAAGTCTTCATCCATATTTCCTCATGGCTTAAATTTTTTTTTTCAAATGTGCAAAAACTTCAAAAGGCTAGGAATTCGCTAAAAAAAAGGATCTAATGCATCGAGATGTCTTGTATGCAAAGCTCTTTTATAATGTCAGTAAATTTTGAAAAGAGAATTGTAAGTTATAGGCAAAAGTCATTCGAATATTAAAATTAAAATATTAAACTGAAAGATATTTTCGAGATTACTAACAACACTCGACAAAAAACGTTATCATTCTTTTTAAATAACTTAAGCTCCATCATATTATCGCAACTGGTACGTAACGACCCGGCAATGTGCCCATAAAACGATTGATCTTTTTGTTGTATTATTTTCTTGGGCATCTCAAATATTATTTGAAACATGTCAACTGTAATTAAATAATTTTCTTCTTACTTTTTACAAGTACAAATTAATAAAATCAGTACAAGAGTTGAAAAATCAGTGCTGTACTGATAAAATCAGTACGTCTGGCAACCGTACATATAGGTATGTGATGTACATAAGTACGCCCGTTTATATAATCATGCGTTTGAATGTATACAAATATGTCAAAGTATGCATACATACTATGTTTGTACACATTTACTTTGATAATCAAGTTGTGTTCTTCGCCTGCTCCTGTGACACATTTGGTATGTTTACATTTAATTAAACATTTGTCAGTTAAGCAATTAATGAGCACACTAGAGCGAAAAACAATACAAAATTATTTATATCCATAAGTGTATTATGTACATTTATGTATTTATATGGGCTTTTCTTTAAATACTTAGATCAAAAAATAAAATATAATGGTATTACAATGGGCTCATGGCGGCTTAAGTATGCCTAATGTGATCAACTATTTCATAGCTCAAAGAAGTACTGGTGAGATTGGGTTAAGTTAAAGTGGTTGCCCTAGTCAAGGGACACAGTTGTACAATTAAGATACCACGAAAAAACTGAACTGATAACCTAACGGCTCGACGAAAAGCCGTGAGCCGATTACCAACTTTCGAAAGCGGCTAATTTCGATCCCTCAGAGCTTAGTGTTAGTTAAGAAGTGCGAGCCAAAATGCTTCCCTCTTTGCCTCCCGAAGGTTGGATAGTCTAAAAGAAAATGTGGGGATGATTCCACCTCACCTTCATCTTTACAGCTGATACCAAAAGGATCACTAGCCCTTGGGAGGTAACGTATTTTTCGGCAACTTTAAGAGGAAACGAAGGGGCACTTGTGTCTTGCGCTGCAAAAAATATTTTAAAGTGCCCTATAAACACACTCGCTTTCTTTTGTCCATTTTATTAGGTATTTCAATATATACGAAGTACGCGTGTTATTATAGCGCTTGCTGAGCTAACACTAGAGCCCACCATCCAAGAGTGTACCGCAGGAGGACAAAGGCGTCCCTAGTTACTACTTATCTGGAGATAACGTTTTAAAGGTGCTTTTCCGACGCCAGGTCATCAGCCACGCCGTTTCCCTAAACAAGTCTTACTAAGAAGTACTCCGAAGTGATTGATAGAGAGGTCAGATTTTCCTTTACCGATTTCGAGAGCATCACCCTTTCGGGGTGTGTCAACCACTTCTTTGATGGCAGCTATTTCCACCTGAAAGACACGGCACAAGTCCTGAAGTCTGAACATAGTTTTGGTGAAGAGTTTCCAACAGAAGAAACCTCCACCAACCCTGTCTCCAAGTGTTGATCTATCCGTGAAGAAGTTTACCGCTCCCTTCTTCGAGTAACACCGCCCTATCTAGTCTTCTCTTTTGAGAGAATGTAGATAGAGAAGGAGCTTCTGGGAGCTATTTCGGAGGCGCTGTAATCTATGTGCTGAAGTCAAATCCCTCAAGAACTCCAGAGTATTACAACCCGGTTTCCCTGAGCCTAATAGCAGTTCGTGCTGCGACAATTCTGTCTGTTTTTTCTACAAGTTTAGTTTAGTTAATTCCTCCAGACATGGGCTCCGCGGAATAAGACAAGAAACACTCTGCCGCAACAGTTCTATCACGAAGTAAGCTGTAAATAAGCCTTTTTAGGTTGGTTTCAACCCCCAGATTATTAATAGACTTGACTATGTCTTCTACAGTGACATTGTTGAAGGCCCCCTCGATATCTAGAAAGGCCCCTACCGGCATAATCTTTATGCATGGAGGCTTCCTCTAACCACATTAGCATTATGTGCAGGGCGATATCTGCCGAGCTTTCTTTGCAATAAGAATGTTGATCTTTTGATAGACAGACACGAAGAATCGCGTTTCTTATGTACCTGTCTATCAGTCTCTCTGGCGTTTTTAGCAAAAACGAAGACAGAAACTTTTATAATAGAAATCGTTAAAAAAAATTATATTAGGACCTTTATTTTATGTCAAATAAAATAATCGGTAAACCCGGCCTTTTATTTTTTTACTCCAGTAATAAGATTTAAACTTGGCCAAATATTTGTTTGAGGCCGAAATAAAAGTTCTTTCCTAATACCAAACAAACCCCATTATCCAAATTAAACAAACTTGGCATCAAATTAAAGAGGACTTTCAAACTGATATAATAAAGTGGAAAAACAGTACCGCCTTTTTTTTTGTATGGGCAGTTATGCGATCTACTGTACATAAGTTGGCTATGATTACTCGGCCGTCTGTCATAGTGTCGCAATGCCGCTAAGTACATTTTAAAATTTTCAGGCAATAGCCTCATGCGATTATCGATTATATTTTTTGTTGTTTGTGTGATATATTTTATTTTTATCATTTTATTTTATTTTTTCTTTTAATCAAAATATGTTAAAAAAAATATATATATGTATATATAAGACCTCCACATATGTCATACACGCGCCACATACTTTCATATCATCATCATATCACCATAGTTTTATGTGCTTATAAATATATGTAAATACATATATATGTAGATATATACCATTGCAAAAAAAAATACAGGACACCCTTCACAAATCCCCAAACATTCCAACCTTCAAACAAAGTGTAGAATAGTTTATCAGCAAAACTTTGTCAGAACCAGTGGCATAGCAACTGTAAATGATTTTGATTGCAAGTGAAGTAAGAAGTATAGATACATATAAATTTTTGAACTAAATCAAATACTCACGTAAGCAACATAACGCAGTTTAAGGGACTTAAGCCAAGCAAAGAAAGGCGTAATACAAAAAGTAGCACTTTATTAGTTAATGCAAGCACAGAAAAAATAAAAGTCAAAGCGAAAAATTTAAATTTTTCAAACAAATTTAAAAATTCGTGCTACAAAAACGTTTTGCAAAACTTAAACAAGAGAAAGAATTACTTAAATTCCATTGATTACGCTATAATCATGTAATTATATATACATATAGCGCGGATGAGGGATTCGATGGCACGTATCACACCAACATTGTGGTCAAACATAACGGCAGTTGTCTGTACGTGCCCCCTGGTATCTTCAAGAGCACATGCAAGATAGACATCACGTGGTTCCCATTTGATGACCAACACTGCGAAATGAAATTCGGTAGTTGGACTTACGATGGAAATCAGGTAAAGTGTTAATTTACATTACAACACATACAAACATACCTGCAAACATGAATACATACATACATACATATATAAATACTGCATAGCAACACGTACATGCATATCACATTACAAACATACACACATACATACGCGTATTCATGCAAACATATTCCATGTCAGCGAATGCATTCAAATTTTTCTCTCTCCCACACTCACGCGTTCACGTGAAAGCTTGCTCGAAAGCTTCATTTTTCGCCTGCAGACGACTGTAGTCTTCGGACATAACATATTTTGAGGCTTTTTTATTTAATATGTATTTTTTTTTTTAGTTTAATTCTTTTTTATTTAAAGCTGAAACGCAAAAAAATTAATCTCTAAGATCACTTTTAATATTCGAAAAGTAAAAACTGTTTTTTCCTTAAAGAGTTCTAGACACCTCAACTAAACATTTTCCTTAAAAAATTATAACTACGTACTTAACACTAAACTAGTTGTAGCATACAATGCCTTTCAGGCTTGCAAAGCTTTGCATTTTCTTTTTTTTCCATATCATCAACAAAATTTTCAAATGATACTCTTTATCGCATTGGCTTCGAGCCTTTAAGCTACACCAAACTATTCATGCTTTCGTATATATATTTATATGTATACATATAAACTTAAATTTCCCTTGTTTTATAATCTTTACCTACCATTTTTAAATTTTCCACAAAAGCTTTGAGCTCTGAAGCTCAATCAAACTGTTAATGCTTTTTGTGGATATAATTTGATTTAAAAGTGATTGTTTCTATTGCAATTATATTTAACTAAACATTAAAAAGATTTAATGCTGTTCATGGCTTTTGAACTCCTCCAGCTTTAAAATTGTGTAAATACCTTCGTTTAAAGCTTTTAAAAGGCTTTCTTCGTGATAGCTTTGAGCTTTAACGCTTATGTAAACCATTCGTGTTTCTTTATATACGCAGATTTCAAATTAATTTGTTTTTATATTTTTAACTGCACTTTTAAATGACGTTTTTGCTACATTAATTAGAGCTTTTAAACACCCTTACATTTGCGGATGAAACTTTGAGCTTTTAAGCTCACTAAGATTTTAGGCTCAATCACAAATATTTTTCGAAATGAAGTTTGTCTGTGAAAGTAGTTTTGAGCTTTTAAGTTCTATTGGAACTTTAAAATATAAAATACTTACTTATATATAATGCAAAGCAGGTATCATCTAATTATTAGATACGTTTTCTTCTTATAGCTAGTTATGAGCTTCTTAAGCTACGTAAGGCAGAAAAGAAAATAGGCATTTTTTTAACTTGCCTTTTCAGCAGATTTTCTTAAATACCAAAGCTGTTAAACACACGAAAATCCAAAAGCACTTTTCACTCAGTTTCAATTTGTTATCTATTTATAGTTTTTCGTGAGATTTGTAAGTCTCGTAAGTCAATTTTCAAAAGCTCTAAAAAAATAACACCATACGCTTTGGTCAAAGTAATTTTTCCTAAATACGAAAGCTTAAAGATTTTTGCTTGAAAGCTCCGAAATAAACAGTAAACAAACTTTTTTAGCTATAGATTAACGAATTAAATTAAATTCAGATCTGAGATCACTATATTTTAATTAGGAGAACTTTAAGCGTGTTAAGGCTTGCTAGTCGCTTTTTCTTAAATGGGAAAGCTCAAATTTTTTACTTTAGAATACTAAAAGCTCTTTAGAACAAAAACATAAAGAAGCTTCTGCTACTAAATTCATTAATTAAAATAATATTACTCAAAAAACTTAGAAAAAACTCCCAAGTACGCAATTAATAATTAAGCACGATTTTGGTGTAATTATTTTTCACAATAATAGCATAAAATCGAAACTGGAATTGCATACGAAAATTGTCAAATATGTATGTATATAAGTAAACACAAGAATCTTTTTTAAAGGCATTTCTGGCATTTACATCTTCAACTAAAATCTTCTTAAATTTAAAAGCTTCTTAGATCTAAAAGCTCCATAAATCTAAAAGCTTCTTAAAAGTTTCTTAGATCTTAAAGCTTCTTAAGTCTAAAAGCTTCTTATATCCAAATAAAACTTAATTACTTTCCGATTTAAACTTCAGTTTGACTGATTGCGAGACAAATTTTTTTAAAGAAAAAGGTCATATTTTTAGTAATACACTCGTACATACTATGTTCTTTTTATAATAAATGAAGGTTATGTAGACCTTTATTAAAAAAGAGCAAACAAAAAGCATGAATAGTTAAAGTTGACTATATTACGTAGACGCAAAAATAAATTTGGTAAACATTTTTTTTTCCCCCGTCAGTCCCTAAAAATACAACCCTGGAGTTATTGAATTTCTCAAAGCATTTTTATAAGAACTCAGAAAAACATAGGAACACACTTTTTGCCAAAATGATTTCGTTGTTTTAGTAATTTAGGAACCATTTTTATTTTGAATTAGTGTAGGCTTAACAAGAAATCTTGTTAAAATAATTATCCTGATATTGTTTAATTACGTCATTATTCACATCATTCCAGACTAATTTTTAAATAAAAATACTTAAAATTTTTCATTTAAAAATCAAATTCATTAAATTTGATAACTTAATAAAAAAGAGTTTAGTACTTCAAAGTAATTTATAATTTAAAACCAATGTTCCTTTTTTCGTTTAATTTTAAGTATTAATACATGTAAAATTGAAATTGCGTTTTCATAACTTTTATACTAAATCATACATCTCTTGGTATGTAGCTTTTATTTTAATTTCCAATGCCTTGAGCTACAGATACCTACTTATACTATCTTTACTTACTGCTACTGTAACATTTTAAACAAATACTTTCGTATTTACCGCCGATATACCCAAGGGTGTACCTGCAGTAACCCTGTACTAAGTATGTAGTACTAAATGCTTAACTTTTCTACTACCTTTTTTTGTACCTAAGCAGACGCTGCTGTCACCTGCTGCTACAACCCACACACCCAAACCAATTTAATAGTTTTAGAAAATAAAGTTAATACGCTTAATTTTTACTGCTACTTTTTACGAATTATTACTTCACCACTACTCTGTTAAAACGATAAACTCTACAGTTAATCACTTATTATTATTTAATTTTTTTTGTTATATACTGCAAACAAACTTGAAACTAGAAAACAGTTCACTGCGTTTTTGTGAATTGCAAAACCAAAACACAAGCAAATAAACAAACGAAAAAAGTACAAAAAAAAAGTAAACAACTGCCTCAAAATACAGTGTGCCGACGCAAAACTGTCAAGCTCTTAGGTTGGTAGTTTTCTGTTGACACCCACTGTAGAGCAAAAAGAAAAACACGAATCTAATTTAGGTAAACGCTAATTGGAATCATGTGTGAAAAGCGAATTTTTTCGAAATAAGATAAAATATTTTTCCAGCAAAAATGTTTTGCGCGAACAATATAAAAACAAAACTATTAAAAAAAAACTCGAAAAAATTACGCTTTCAACTATTTTGCATGGAGAGAAAGAAAGCAAACAAATTTACCGAACCACGCCCAAATTTTTTTACCACCAAGAAATGAAGAAGAAGAAGTGATTTTTTTATGTGCAAAAAATTTGGACGTACATACGTACGTAACTACTCTTAATGAAAGACAAACTAATTTTTTTGCTACTTCCCCGCATAGAAGTTCTGAGGGAGGGCGTGTAAATGTGAGAAAAAGAATTTTATTCTCAATAACAATGTCATTGCCCACTCTCCCTCTATTTTTTTTAAGCACACTTCTGCCATGGGAAGAGTATAAATCGCACCTATAAAAGTTACTCTCTTAAAATCAGAATACTCCCTACTGTACATACACTAAAAAAACAATGTTTCACGCAAAGTTTGACAGCTTGATTGACAGTTGCAAGAAGTTTGGTATAAATACGGCACTTTAGCGAATTTTCACAAAAAAACTTCAAACAAATATTAGTTTTTTTTTTTTTAATTTTCATTGCTTCGAAAATTAAGCATATAATAAATTAAGAAAGTTTAAGTTAAGACTTTCAACTGTTAATTAGCTGTCAATTTTACGCAATTTCTATTTTACTCAATAAATATTTATCTCACGCACTTTACGCCCAACTTTCTCACAAATATTTTTTGTATACACCTCACTCTTTCAACATACACTCTTCTACACCACACATACATAAATAAATGCTACAATTTATCCTTAACCCACCCATACTTCAAACAAACATATGTGTTGTTCTCTTCAATGTTGCCTTGGTTCTTTTTTACAATATCTTTTTGTAAAAATCAACTATTTTGCAATATTTTGTGTTAAAAAATGTATTGAAAAAATAAATATTAATGTAATTTTTGAATTTTCTCTTTCCCCACTTTGCCCGAACCGGAAAAAACTACAACACTACAACCTGTCAAAAAACAACACAAACACTAAACGCCTTTTCAATCCGTTACAAATGCAACCCTGCTACTATTGACACTCTCGAAACTTTAACAAAATTCCTATTGTACAAAAAAAAATTTATTTTGCAAATTTTTGTCTTCGCACAAAACTTTGTAAATTCAAATATAACTACACAAAAAATTACAACCAAAAAAACAGTTGGATTTGGTTTTGAATTCCGAAGATGGAGGGGATCTTTCCGATTTCATAACAAATGGCGAGTGGTATCTGCTTGGTTAGTAAATTTTCTTATTAACTTTTTTGTGTGAATTTTAGTGTTTTTTTTTTCGTAATCGTTTTTTTTTTACCGATAATTATGATGGCTTTGTATATTTATGTGCTCGATGTAACTGAGTTTTAGTGTACAAAATTATAAACGATTAGTGTACTTTTTTATTTTTGAATACTTAGTTTTTATTATTTAAAATTTTTTTAAGCTTGCGCAGTATTGAAATTTAGATGAAAAAGTAGAAAACTTTTAAGAAACTTTTGAATTTAAGGTTTTAAAAATGGACGTTTCTAGATGAAAAATAAATTCAGTTATATTAAATAACATTAAATGGGATGAAAATAAAATTTAAGAAAATAAAATTAAATTAAATTAAATTAAATTAAATGTGATAAAAAACTAAAATTAAATTAAATAAAGTAAAATAAAATTAAAGTAAATGCAATCAAAAAATAAAGTAACATTTAAAAAAATACAGAAGAGTAAAACAAACAAGTAAACAAAAAATAAAGACTAAATAAAATTAAATTGCAAAAAAGAAATAAGTAATTGCCAATGCATCATCAAAACTTTCGTCACAGCAGTGGTATGTATATGTGGAGACTAAAATACTCCACTCACTGTATTGTAAGCAGAACTGACGCGCTCTGCACTGAGAATATTAATTTTCTGTCTATGTTTGGGTTCCATAAAGTATCATCTGAAGCCGCACAGCATCTTTGAGATATCCAGGAAAGAAGTTCCGCAAAACATGTCTTTCGATCAACCTGATTTTCTTTCGAATCCTAGTAGACTTTAGAATGATGTTTTTTCTAACTAAGCTCTAGAAGAAGTGACCCACAAAAATTTCAGCCGCTTTCTCTGGAGTGCAGCTTGCCTAAATGGCATGTAATCAGGTGGTCAAGTGTCCCATTAGTATTCCGCTGAGCAGCCGAACGTTAGCTTTTGTGAGCCTTAGCAATTTCTGCTTTGCAGTTTTATCCATTTGCTGCTAGTAGCTTCTAGAGTAATTTTTCCAGCTTGTGAAATCAGGAATAGCCTGTAGTATGATTCGGGTGGTTCCTCTTATCCTATATCAGATCGATTCCCGGAATACCACTGTGTCTTGGGAGAACCAATAAATTAACTATATGTAAATATGTTGTTGATGAAATCGTCAGGTTATCGAGTTAGGCGTTACCGACCTCAGAACGTTAACAGCAGGTCAAGTGTCTACAACAAAGGCCAGTTTTTATGGTGCTAGGTCCATCATGGCTACTAGTTTTGCCGACATGTCAATTGCATACATCTGAGCCTGAAATATTTTGGATCTGAGGGCGAATTTTGGAGATATCTGCGAAGATCGTGATTTCGAGAAAAAAAGACAAATTTTATTAAAGTAAATAAATTGAAATTAAATCAAAACAAATAAAATTAAGTGGAATGAAATAAAAAAAAAAACGAAAAAAAAGAAATGAAATTAAATGGTATGAAATAAAATTGAAATTAATTTAATTTAATGTAATTTTAAGAGTAGATATGAAACTAAAACAATTTGCATTCCTTCTTGCCTTTTTTTACTCTTCATTATACAACTTCTCGAATTATTAACCCTCAATATCGAATTAAGAAACATCCATTTTTAAAACTGCCAAATTGCTTTGAAATTTATTCGTAGTCAAAATTTTGTATCATTTGAGTGGTTCGAAAATTTAAAATTTTCACGCCTATGCAAAATTATTATTATTTATTGCTCACTGTAAGTAAGTTTGCTGAATGTTTTTACCCAACTACTTCCAAAACCAATTCACGTCTCGCTAATAAAGTATTATCTCTTCTCTCTCTCTCTCTCTCTCTTCCCTTTTCACTGCAATCGATTTAACAACCAAATTTTGTTATTTAATACCCCCAAAAAAATTGCCAAATCTGTTACTTTTTAATCGAAAATTAAATATATTTTTATATGGCCCCAAAAAAAAAATATATATAATATATATATATATTTGTGTATATAATAAAACTCATTAACATTCGACGTGCAAAAACAATAACGACCAACAACACACCCGTCATATATGTGTACAACAACAGCCATGCCGGGCAAGAAGAATACCATCGTCTACGCCTGCTGCCCGGAACCCTATGTGGACGTCACATTTACGATACAAATTCGACGGCGTACATTATATTATTTTTTCAATTTAATTGTGCCGTGTGTGCTGATATCATCGATGGCTTTATTAGGATTTACACTACCTCCAGATTCGGGCGAAAAACTAACATTAGGTGAGTAAATGTTATAAAAATAAAATATATGAAAAAAATTTAAAAATAAAACAGTCCATTTTGTTTATTTAAGACAAATTTACAAACATTTATTTAAGATTCACATATACATACATATCTGTATATAAATTTTCTCAAGTGACATTTCAGGTGATCTATAGCCAAATAACGCAGCCATAATAAGTTGAAGTGGTAAATAAGAAACACCTTTTTTTCAGCACAAGAAAAATAATTTATATGCGCGGTTACCCATTACGAATACTCGAGCACGAAAATGTGAGGTTATAACTTTATTTTTTTATTTGTGTACCAGCGCAGCTCCACTTGCCAGCTTAATCTGCGGTAGCGAAATGAGGAAATGCTGGATTTTAAATAATTATAGAAGTTTATACATTAAATAGGATATGTAAATTAGAGTGTGTAGCATAATTTAAACATAAACATGCATGAAATTTAAATAAAAACGTTAAATTATGGTTAAAGCTGGAAAATTGTTGCACAGGGCTTATAAAGAATTAATATTTCTGGAAGTTAATACAGAAGGGCTACATTCTATGGCGAGACAAAAATTGGGATTAAAGCGCCTAAAGGTATGCACCACTAGGCGCCAATGCATCTTGTGACCTTCCATTACTTAGCTTATGTAAGCAATTCTCACCCACTGTACAACAAAGTCTGTTGATAAAGCAAGCTCTCGCGACAGTTTACTATATTAACAAGTTCTTCAATATGACTTCGAATCGTAAAGCTGAACTTTTTTTTTACTTTCAAATGGACTTGACTCTACTTTGCCATTTGGTCATTCGGCTTAAATCATTCTACCAGACAGTAAATGGCTATTTCACGGCTATGTGAACTTATTAAACCCTCGTGCTTAGGCAAAAAACTTTCAAACATTATGTCACTCAAATATTCGTTTCTTAACCCCGAACTTCGGTCTGCTCTTTTCCCTAAACCTATGTGGCTCGAACCTGACAAGGCTACATAGGTTAGGTTAAGATGTTTTCCCTTCGAAAAGGAGCACAGTTAGATCATGAGCACTACGAACGGTAACTGCTAGGTGAAAGTGAAAATCGCTAAGAATGAAGTTTCGAAGATGGCAGGTATAAAATCCTCACCTCGAACTCAGTTAGAAAGCACGATCCCATATGTCTAAGCCGCAGTCTATCGAATGCTGGGCAGTTTAAGAGGAAATGAGATGCCCCCACCTCGTCATCCTCATTGCAGCTCCAAAAAAGAGGGTCTGAAGTTATATTTAGTCCCTAGTCAGTCGAATCACCACAGTTGAGACATGTCCACCCTCGGCCAGAACGACCTTGCAGTGGTAGAAGCACTGGTTTGCCTCCAGCGTACGCTAAGTTGGCGCGATCCCGTCTTTCCAATAGAATTTCTTAAGTAGTCAGGGAACTTCTACTCCGTCTTTTCTGTGTGATACTGGCTTGAGGGTGCCACTTCTGACTAGTTCATCAGCCACGCAGTTTCCTGCGCCATCACCATTGACCTGGCCCCCATGCAAATCTGCTAAGGTTATACTTCGATGCGAACGAAAGAGAATTTAGGCATTCCTCTACTAGCATCGAGCAAATCCAGCGCTCTGAAGGACGACTCGCTGTAAACCGGTGTAGATATTAATATCCCTTACCATCGACTGCTTCGTTTCAAGATGTCTGGGAAACACTACAGTGATCTGGAATCCTAAATCTTGTGCTGATTCCAGTTCCTCCTTCAAGCTTCGATCCATTTGTATAAATGTTCATCGGTGCCTCACCACCGTCCACTCATGCCTTGTTGGGTTGTGCAAGTCCAGCCTATATATATTACAAATTATCTTCAAGGTAAGATTGAAACAGGTCAGAGGACTCTCAAATGGTCAAATTTTGGTTTAGGAGTCAATGAGAGTGACAGACTCGGCATTGGTTTCTTGGTTAGGTTTCGGTAGTTCACCCAAGCAACGGAAGCACTTGAGCTTGAAGGATAATGTCCTCTATGACTCCACGAAAATTTGAACGGGACACATTACTTAGCCAAACATGGACCGCGAGCTCGAGAGCTCATCAGCTTTAGTTAGGAAAGGCGGGCCAAAATATTTCAACCATTTCCTAGTGAAGGCTGAGATGATTGTACCTCATCATCCCCCTGGCAGCTGCAACAGAAGGGATCGGGTAAGATTCCTAACCTTACCACATGAGACCCAGTCACACGATGGCGTACCAGCTAGGGAACCCGACTAACAGCAAGAGCTGAAGCTTTGCAAGCGTAAGGAACTCCTTCGATCAACCCCGATCCTCTATAGGCCAGAAGGATCTTGCAATTGCGCATGTCCTCGTTTTCACCGAGCGCTCGCTGAGCTGAAATAAGGAACATACGTTCAATAGAGAAACTCCAGGTGCTGCCTAGCCGTTTCAAGGGTGCCTTTCCTTGCCTAGCCGTCAGCCATGCAGTTTCTCTCAAGAGCGCTGTCGCCTACCCAAATTAAGTAATCCGACGCGGTTGAGAAAAACGCCACACATTCGCTGACCAGTCTCGAATGCAGCAGCATAGCGTTTAGGACGCTGATAGCGGCTTATCTATCAGAATATATGCTTACCTCATTAACTGATGTGTCACGTTTCATTAGTGAAGGTAGTTTTCGCGTATAAATGCGTAATTGAGAGACTGGAGGCATAGATAGTTAGACACAAGTATGAGGTGTGTACTGCGAATCGTAGTTCCATTGTGTCATTCTGTTTCTTATATGGCGCTCAAAATTTCGAATGAAAATGCTCTCTTCCCATTGTGCCGCCGCGGCTATGCTCTCAGGAGTTTTGAGCCGCAGAATACTCAACAGGAAATGCCTTAGAAAAGTGGAGGCGAGTATGCTGCACAATCTAATTTTCTCAAATACTATTCGTGGTAACGGAATTTAAGAATCTAATTTTTCCGTACTCTTCAATGGCAGTGTCCGTGGACCTTCTGGCCCTATATGTTAGCTGACTTGAATCCATCAACGTTCACTTCAAAGTGTTTGTATTAATGCTCTATAAATGCTTTTAACAGAAAGGAGGTAAGCTTTAGTGGCCTCAAAGCGAAGAGTCTCGCCTGCCAACATTTGTTTAAGAAATTTTTCGCGCCCTCTTTCATTCCCCTAAACCAGATGATAGAGCATGACTGTTCCTAATAATGTCTATCAAAAGACGCGATAGAAGTTCTCTCCTAGACATAAAAAAGCGCATTGTAATGGATCTTTTTAGTTCTGGACGTTCGTATCCAAGTTAGAGACCAAAGGTTCTGGAACCGCTTGTGTAGACATCCACCTCGGGAAGGTCAGCTTAGAAGAACAGTTGTGACAGTGGAAACCAAATAAATTTCGTCTCACCGCACGTATTCCTTCTTACTAAAATATTTTGTAACAGAAACAACTTCTGATCACCGAACTTATATTAGGTCCAACTGTCACCAAGAGTAGTGCACCAGTCGCACTCTTTTCTTGCTCGATGAGACCGCCTCGAGTATACCGTGATAATTGATTGCTAATGACAGCTACCTCTACCTGAAATACGCTGCAATGTTCCAGTCAGATTTCTGGACAGCATACACTCCACACCAGCCGTTCCGTTAACCTACACCCTACCGAAGTTGTTGAAGGTTTTTGAGTTGATCGGTGATCTGTCCAAACAATGGCTATTTTGAGGCTTCAATGAGTACATATAGGTCCATCGAAACCTTAAGTAGTCTACTAAACACCCAATCTAATCTAAGCGCCGTTTCACACGATATGCTAACACAACTTATGTTGAAACGAGTATACATACCTGGAAACTCAACGTCCAGTAGTCTCCTGCATCTACTCTAACTGCCTAACTAATATATCACCCAGGGTATTCACATAAAAAAAGTTCTTTCTAATAGCGGTCGCCCTTCAACAGGCCTCCGAGTGTATTTCTGCCGTGAAAAACAGAACGCCACAAATCGGAGGGAATGCTCGGCGAAACACTAACATATCGATGGCTGAGTGAAAGATTGACCTATCTCGGCAGCCCTATCTCAGAAAACTTTTCAAGAACGCCCTACTTCAGAATTTGATTGAGGAACGTCCTATTGCAGAATTTTATTGAAAAGCACCCTATATCATAATTCGGTTCAAAAACGACCTGTCTCAAATGAAAATACGGGCGGTTTTGAACCGAATTCTGAGATAGGGTTTTTTTCAATAAAATTATAACATAGGGCGTTCTTCAACCAAATTCTGAAACTTCAGCAGCTTAAACTCCTGCTTATCTATACTTCACCTCCGCGTACCTAACGTATGTTCTACATGTTAAAATTTCCCTGATGCCAACCCCCCTTAACACGACTCAACCTCCCTCTTCTCTCTTTAAGGTGCCAATGTGGAAGCTCGCCAATCAGTTTTTTTTTATTTCTTGAGAGTGTCAAGCCTTTTCTTTGTGAGCTCGCTTCACACATCGACACCAATATACAATATGAATCCGTATCGATAATTTAATCGATAAATATATCGATAACGATAGCAATGCACACATCGGTATCAATAAACATATAAGGATCCGTTCCTTTAATGAAATCGATAAATATATCGGTAACGATAACAACATGTTTATCGATAATTACATTGAGGACCACATTTTTACTTGAATTCAGACCTAAGTATATACTCAAATCGAAATTTTCACTCTCTTTTTTACCTCCGTATCGATAAGTAAATCGATAAATATATCTGTAACGATAACACCGCATATATCGATATCAATACACATATAAGAATCCGTTTCTAAAATGAAATCGAAAAATATATCGATAACGATAACAACAAACTCGTTTTTAATTAAATTCAGGCATAAATAGATACAAACTGAAGTCGGAATTTGCATTCACGTTTAGGTACATCTCCTTTTGAGTGAAAACTTTTCCAGCTTTAAACCATAATTACTAGCTACTAATTAGACCCATCATAATACTTGTATTTAGTAATAGAGCTTTTTTTTTAATTACAAAACATCGCATTAATTTATTAATAAAAAGTAAAACAAAAAATAATTAAATAAAAAAACACAACCTCAGTCCCGATTATAAAAAAATAAAATCCCACTGTCAACTGTCCAAGGCACAGGAAGTGCCTTTCAACCCAATTGCGACCACAACAAGAAAAACCTGCTTACAGTAAATCAACGCTTTATGCTACTCTAAATATTATGCGTTTATTTGTATTTGATTAATTTTCGGCATAGTGTTTTCTTTTAGGATTCCTCCAACAATGCGCTGTCCATTTAATCTAGCATTCTTATAAACGCATAGTGCATATTTACAATTTTATGTTAATTTCTATAAAATAATTTCAATTAAAATATTTTATATTATTTTCTTTTTTTATTATCTTTGATTGCAGGCGTAACTATACTTCTATCCTTAACAGTATTTCTAAATCTTGTTGCCGAATCCATGCCGACAACGTCGGACGCTGTTCCTCTTATAGGTACACTGCAAAGCAAAAAAAATAAAAATAAAAATATTAGAAGAAAACCAAATCACATTTAGAATAAAGAAGATAAAACGAAAATATTAGTTTTATTAGATTTATGACATAACTTTCAGCATACATACATACATATGTAAAAGGAGTCATGCCATAGAATGTGTTCGCCAACAAAACCACACTTACTACTTACTAACCACACACCAACGCAGATATCTACTACATACATACATGCATACATAGACATTGTATTAGCTACCTAGTTGAATATGTGAAGAATGAGAAAATATTTATTTTTCTGCATTTCGTTTAAAATTTTCTTTGGCATTTTGATTTTTAATTTTATTTCATTGTATTAGCTACTAAATAAACTACACACTTACTGCACAACAACAACAACAAAATAAAAAGAAACTGTTAAAACCACAATGTACTTATTGTATGTCACACTTGCTGAGCTGATATATAGTTTAGGTTAGGTTACGGTGGTTGCCACCACGCACAATCCGGCAGAGTGGTACTTTAAGGCTAGCCAGGTCCATTGTAATGCCACTTTAGCGAGCGCACTTTCCCTTGTGATAGAACTGCCGTGTTACCTCAACGAATCATTGAAAGTTGCAGATGTCCACAGAGTGGAGATCAGCTTAACACTGAAAATCAGAGATAGCTCTCTACATTCTCCACCTCTTCCTCCAACCTGCGACGACAAGAATCGTTAAGGGATTTGTCCCATTAATGGAGCGAAACATTTGTATAAGAGTTTTATATCTTTCCTCATTGATAATTGGTCAGATCTGCTTGGTAACGGAACGGATAAGTTCTTTCTCCTATATTTCGCTGTCCTATACATTGAAAGCTGATTTAAGTCGGTATTTACAAGATAACATACGATTAATTAACTGGGCGTACAACAAGGTCAAAACGGAAGCAATTAGTTGAACCCTGGAGATGCACGGCATCGAGCAGTATATAGTTGTGTGGATCGAATCAATGCTGAAAAGCAGAATAACCAACGCAGCTGTAGACACAGGGTCCGTGATTAGAAAAATAACGAGGAGAACTCCGCAGGGAGAAGTCTTACCACCCCCCCTGCTGGCGATTTCGGTACTAACTTTAAAGTTAGAAAAACGAAGATGGTTGCCTACGCTGATGACTCGGCTATACTAAAACCAAACTTGTTTTGCTCAGAAGCAAAACACAAGTTCAGGAATTTCTCATACCAAAGCTGGACGGAACTAGTCTGAACCTTCCCTCCAAGGCGAATTACTTATGTACTATCCATGACTCCAAACTTACGTGAATGCGCAACGTAGAGGAAAGAGCAAATAAGAGCCTAGAAGCGTATTATACCTGTAATAGGGCTTTGGGGAGAATTGGGGTCTGTCACCGCATATCATTCACGGTATGTACACCACAGTGAGCCGACGGATTTCAGCTATATGAGTGCTGATGATAAAAGCAGCAAGCAGAAAATAATAGGAAGAGTTCAGAGACTCGCAAGCCTCGGTATATCAGGCGCCGTGAAAATCGCGCTACAAGAAGGATTGCAAATGATCTTTTACTTGAAGCTACCATAAGTATTCGTATCAGGTTTGGGCTCTCCCAAGCCGAGGTGAAAACATCAAACATCTACGGCTTCATCCGGAATAGTAAATGGTTTCACAGACTTTATACAAGTCGCCAGATTTACCCAGTCGCCTCTGTCTGGAACTCTGTTAGAAAACTTACTTTCGAAGCAAAAAATTGGGCTGCTGTAATCCAACTCATTAACGTTTGCTGAGATGGTGCCCAGAATTTTTAAGTGACCTGACTTGATGTCTACTGTAAAAGTCTATGGGAAGAAGATTTGGTATAGTTTTTAAGGCCTCAGTGGGTGTAGAGTGCCGGTGTTCCGTAATTCATATGATTGTAGTGCAACCGGCCACCTCACGGTGATCCCATATGGTTCGAATATCTGCCGTGTACATCCAACCTGTTATGTGCGGTTTCGGACCCCATCGCTTACATCCCCTTCCCCTGTTTTACAAGCTTATAGGATGGTTATTGCTTTCCTGATTCGTCCGTAAGCCTCCGTTCCCAGTCCTACTTTCTTTCAAGAATTATACCCTTGGTATGTAACCTCAATGAAGAGTATAAGCCCCATACCATTTAGAGAGGGAGGCTGAAAAGATGGATAGGTGATCAGAGCATGCTTTCATTTTGTTTCCTAACGGGCTATGTTTTGTCCAGACCAGACCAGTGCTGAAATAGTTCAAGAAACCACATCAGTAATTAGTTCTGATCACTAGCTATCTATCCATCTGCTCTTCTCAATGCAGCCGAGATCTTCCCCTATCTTCACCAGCAGTTACATACTTTCAGATCTTGATACTTTGCATCCAAACGTACGATAGGGCCTAGCTTATGCAGCTCATCATACCGTCATCTCCGGTACTCACCCTCACAAATGAGTAAAGGATCATGCCTTACATTTTCTGTACAATCTTTCCCTCCAACACTTAAAAGGCCTCTAATTTTTCGAGGCTATAACGATGAGGGCAACGAAATCGCCGATCAAGATTTTTTGTGGTCATGAAGAAGGATGCTCTTAGGTGTGCCCCAAGCGCTCATTGAAAATGTTTTTGATCGCCTCTTTGCAGCTCCTTAAACCTCTTAAAAATTTAATTATCTTTCAAATAAAAATAAATAAAACTCTTATCCGAATTCATTGTAGGCTGTAGGCCTTTTAGGACCACTGAGCATCGAAGCAAATAAACGAAACAATCTCTCTTTGATACGGAATGCGGCGAGACGCTCGTTGACTTTGGTAAGTTCCTGAGGCTACCTGAGTATAGCTTTACTAAGGGAAACACCTTAAAGTAACCCAAACTATCTCAGTTTAGTGGAGGTGCAGTTACACCCCTTGCTGTTGACCCTCTCCTACCTCCGTTTCTTCTTCTTCTTCTTAATTGGCACTGTAACCGCCTAAGCGATCCGAGCCGAGTCCAAAACAGCACGCCAGTCATTTCTCTTCTGTGCTAACTGACGCCAATTGGAAATGCCAAGTGAAGCCAAGTCCTTCTCCACCTGGCCTTTCCAACGCAGAGGAGGCCTTCCTCTTCCTCTGTTACCAGCATCGAGGCCCGCGTTGAATATTTTCAGAGCAGGAGCGTTTCTGTCCATTCGAACGACATGGCCAAGCCAGCGGAGCCGCTGAATTTTAATTCGCTGCACTATGTCTATATCGTTGTAAAGCTCATACAGCTCATCGTTAAATCGTCTGCGATATTCGCCATCACCAACGCGTAAAGGTCCGTAAATCTTTCGCAGAATCTTTCTCTCGAAAACTCCAAGAGCCGCCTCATCAGATGCTTTCATTGTCCATGCCTCCGCGCCATACACCAGCACAGGCATGATGAGTGACTTATAGAGTGTGATCTTTGTACGACGAGAGAGGACTTTACTTTTCAATTGCCTACTCAGCCCAAAGTAGCACTTGTCGGCAAGAGTGATTCTCCGTTGGATTTCAAGGCTGACATTATTATTGGTGTTAATGCTGGTTCGCAAATAAACGAAGTCGTCTACTTTTTCAAACTTGTAACTGTCAACAGTGACGTGGGTGCCAAGACGCGTATGCTCTGACTGTTTGTGTGATGACAGGAGATACTTCGTTTTGTCCTCGTTCACCACCAGACCCATTCGCTTTGCTTCTCTATCCAATCCCGAGAAGGCAGAACAGATGTAGCCTTTGTTTTTACCGATAATATCGATGTCGTCGGCATACGCCAGCAATTGTACGCTCTTATAAAGTATTGTGCCTGAGCGGTTCAGTTCTGCGGCTCTTATTATCTTCTCCAACATCAGATTAAAGAAATCACACGAAAGGGAGTCCCCTTGTCTGAAACCTCGTTTGGTATCAAACGGCTCGGAGAGGTCCTTCCCTATTCTGACGGAGCTGGTGGTATTGCTCAACGTCATTTTACACAGCCGTATTAGTTTCGCGGGGATACCAAATTCAGACATCGCGGCATAAAGGCAACTTCTCTTCGTGCTGTCGAAAGCGGCTTTGAAATTGACAAATAGATGGTGTGTGTCGATCCTATTCTCGCGGGTCTTTTCCAAGAATTGGCGTATTGTGAATACCTGATCTATGGTGGCTTTTCCAGGCCTAAAGCCACACTGATAAGGTCCAATCTGCTCGTTGACGGTGGGCTTCAGTCTTTCGCACAATACGCTCGATAAGACCTTGTAACCTATGCTTAGAAGGCTGATTCCGCGGTAGTTGGCGCGTATGGCGGGGTCGCCTTTCTTGTAGATTGGGCAGAGCACACTTAAATTCCAGTCGTCGGGAATGCGATCATCTGACCATATTCTGCATACGAGCTGATGCATGCACCTCATCAGCTCCTCGCCGCCGTACTTGAATAGCTCGGCTGGCAGGCCGTCAGCTCCAGCAGCTTTGTTATTTTTCAGCCGCGTAATCGCTATTCGTACCTCGTCATAGTCAGGCGGTGGGACAGCTACTCCATCATCATCGACTGGGGACTCGGGTTCGTCTTCTTCACTACTTTCAGCGCCGCTACCATTCAGTCGGTTATAAAAGTGTTCCCTCCACAATTTAAGTATATTCTGGACATCGCTCACTAGGTCGCCATTGTTGTTCTTACAGGAGTTCGCCCCGGTCTTGAAACCTTCCGTAAGTCGCCTAACCCTCTGGTAGAATTTTCGGGCGTTCATCCTGTCGGCCAGCATCTCAAGCTCTTCGCACACACGTATTTTGGCCTCTATCTTCTTATTGCGGCAAATACGTCTCACTTCCTTCTTCACTTCCCTATAACGGTCCCACATGGCTCGCGTTGCGCCCGATCGCAGCGTGGCCCTGTAGGCGGCATCTTTTTTCTCTGCGGCTTCTTGACATTTCTCATCGTACCAGTTGTTCTTTCGGGTTCGCTGAAATCCAACTACTTCTTCGGCGGCGGTACCAAATGATCGGGAAATGTGGTTCCACTGCTCGCGTATGT